CGCCAGGATCATCATCTCCAGACCGCTTCCCTGGCTCCGCGGCTGGTGCGCCCTCAACAGCTTGGGCTACGTGGACAACTGGGCCTCGTTTTGGGAACAGCCAGCACTCTACCGGAGGGATAGGCCTCCACCATAGTCGTCTGGGATCTGTTGTTCTCTCAAGGAACATAAAGACGGCCATCCGCTGACTTCAGAGTGAAGGCCATGTAAGTAGCGCCAAAAATAGAAATGCTACAGCTAATAATGCTAGTGTTACTGCTGAATATAAGGCGATTGCTAGCATTTATACTGTAAATAGGGCAAGTGCTAATACAAATACTTATTCTATAAATACAAATGCTCACACCGCAAACTGCCTTGAGTCGCCACATTGGTTCCTCCCGATAGAGACTGTGTCTGTTCCCCGAATAAAACAAAGCGTCAAAGAGCCTCGAAATGTTTGCTATAGTAACTTGCTTAAGTGTGTACATCAAGCAAAGGCACCTCAAGTTCGGCCTACAGCATATTCGGCCAATGGAAGTACATGCTGCAGCAGGCTCCGCCCTCCTAGTCTCCCTGGTAATGACTGTCAGTACACACTGTGTTTGGATAAGAAACTCCACAATCTTGATATCTGGATAGAGATCTAGATTTCTTTGCAACAATCGGTCAAAAGCACTGCAGCGTCCTGCTACTGGCTAGCACGGCTGTAGAGACTCTGGGGATGGTGACCTCCCCCACAATGTCAGTGCTTTGTATGTGCCTTTCTGCTTGGTGCTCAATAAAGAACATTTCTTGTAACAGAATCATGGCTTCCCTTGTCTCTTACACCACAGTGCTCTACTGCACTGGTGTCTGATGTCAGACTGGTGAGGAATGGTGCTTGCACTTCTTCGTGGCAGGCTGCAAGAAAGGCAGAGTCTGGTAAAAGGCCGAAATGGTGAGGACAATGCTGCAAGGTTCCATGGCTGGGCTGGCGTAGGAAGGCCTGATGACAGGGCTGGTGCGAAGTGGCTTGATGGCAAGACTGGCTGAATGAGGCTCCAGGTCTGTGGTCGCCATAATGGGCTCATCCATATCTCTACTGTGACCAGGTGCGCTCAGACGCACTGAGAGGGGCGCATTAAACGGCCAGGAGGCAACCATTGTCCAGCTTAACTCAGTCACCAATGGTGGAGGTGTAGCCTCAGTGCACATGAGCGGCATTCATGCCAACGTTAATGACACAGTGGGTGGCGGGTGGACTGCTGTTGTTTGGACGAGGAATGGGGGAAAGTGCCCTGCGGTGTTTGTGCTGGCTCAACCTTTAAAGGAAGGGCTATGTAGCGTCTCGCTACTGTCTGGCACAGCCATAGAAACTCAGTGTACATGCAGACAGCCAAGTGCGAAGGCTCATAGTAGGAGCCGGCCTTCCTTTAAAGGGACTCGTTAGTGATGTTTGTTGTTAGTCTGAAGCTTTGTGTTTACTGTGTGGTTCTGTGTCAGAGAGTGGGTTTAGTTAGCGTGTTTTGTGATGGGGTTGGTCACCGTGAGGGTGAAGTGTATGGCTAGCGTGTACGGCCATGGCTGACAAGTTCAGTGCTTTGTATGTGTCTTTGTGCTTGGTGTCGAATAAAGAGGCTTCTCGCAGCAGAATCATGGCCTCCCCTGTGTCTGACGCTACAGTACTGTTGGCAACGTGCGGAATTTGAGCGTTTTGTCCTTTCAGTGAAGATTCAATTTAAGTTTTCAGCTCTTGAGTTTCTTTGGTGGATGGGTGGATGCAGACAATCGCGTTGAAGGACATGGTAACTCATAGTAACTCTGGCAGAATCCATTGTCTGAATGTCTCAGATTCTCAGTATGTACGTCTGTCATCGTGTAAATCAGTTTTATATAACGACAGTCTTACCTGTGACCTATTCCTGAATCTGAAGAGCTTTTTATCCATGCTTACATCAAAAACTGATGATGACTGAAGGTATTTATGATTATTTATATGTATTATCTGTGTTAACTTGCTGCTTTGCCAAGAAAGTGATGATAAAGATTGCAAAAGCTGTCTATGCGTTTCAAAGCATTACCAGTACTGAAGAGTGCCAAGAGTGCCCCCCTGAGCTAATGCTTGAGCTAGCTGTTAGCTGTAAGCTGTGGCCAAATACAGATTTGATGAATGTTGGTGTGTGTGAAATACCGTGTACTTTGCCTTTCGGTGATGGAGAGATAACGCGCCAGTATTTCAGAGATTTTGACCCCCTCTCTGGCCATGCGGATAGTGGGCTGGAACAGACTGGACCAGGGCAGACGACCGTACAGCCTGTGAACATGCTCATAACCACGGATCTGACCAGGCACACCGATCCACTGACTACCTACAGAGAGAGAGAGAACAGGGAGAAAGTGGTGTAGGGGGTAAAACATATGATCTAATTAAATCAAAGTATACAGGAATGCATGCAGCATAAAAATTGGCAAACAAATTCCATCTCTCAGACGCACAGAGAGAGACAGGGCTGCTGTTTAAGCCCAGCACTATTTAATATTTGCATTAATGAATTGGAGAAGATATTAGAGGAGTCCACAGCTCCCTGTCTCACTCTGCACGACTCAGAGATTAAATTCCTGCTCTATGCAGATGACCTGGTTCTGCTGTCCCCCACAGAGCAGGGCCTACAGCAGAACCTGGACCTGCTGGAGCAGTACTGCCAGACCTGGGCCCTGGCAGTAAACCTAAAAAAGACAAACATAATGATATTTCAGAAAAGATCCAGATCTCAGGAAAACAACACACATTTGTGTTAGGTATGAATAATATTGAATACTACTGAGAGGCAAAGCCTGCAGGGGTTTCTATGCCATAAAACAACAAACATCTGTGGAAATTCCAATCAGAATTTGGCTAAAAATATTTGAATCTGTAATTGAGCCAATTGCCCTTTATGGCAGTGAAGTGTGGGGTCCGCTAACTAATCAGGAATTCCACAAATGGGACAAACATCCGATTGAGACCCTGCATGCAGAGCTGTGTGAAATGATGTAAATGGTGCACAGAAACGCCACAAACAACGCATGCAGGGCAGAATTAGGCCGATTTCCATTAATTATAAAAATATAAAAACACCCCATTAACACTCACTAACACCACACTAACACCCCACTAACACACACTAGCACACAACTAACACCTCACTAACACACACTAACACTCACTAACACCCCACTAACACTCACTAACACCACACTGACACCCCACTAACACACACTAGCACACAACTAACACTCACTAACACACACTAACACCTCACTAACACTCACTAACACACACTAACAAACACTCACTAACACCCCACTAACACTCACTAACACCCCACTAACACACACTAACACCCCACTAACACACACTAACAAACACTCACTAACACTCACTAACACACACTAACACTCACTAACACACACTAACACCTCACTAACACTCACTAACACACACTAACAAACACTCACTAACACCCCACTAACACTCACTAACACCCCACTAACACTCCACTAACACTCACTAACACCCCACTAACACTCACTAACACACACTAACACCCCACTAACACACACTAACACTCACTAACACACCACTAACACTCACTAACAAACACTCACTAACACTCACTAAGACCCCACTAACACTAACACCCCACTAACACTCACTAACACACCACTAATACTCACTAACAAACACCCACTAACACTCACTAAGACCCCACTAACACTCACTAACACCCCACTAACACACACTAACACACACTAACACACCACTAACACTAACAAACACTCACTAACACCCCACTAACACACACTAACACACACTAACACTCACTAACACCCCACTAACACTCACTAACACCCCACTAACACCCCACTAACACACACTAACACCCCACTAACACTCACTAACACCCCACTAACACTCACTGACACCCCACTAACACACACTAACACCTCACTAACACTCACTAACACACACTAACAAACACTCATTAACACCCCACTAACACTCAGTAACACCCCACTAACACACACTAACACCTCACTAACACTCACTAACACACACTAACAAACACTCACTAACACCCCACTAACACTCACTAACACCCCACTAACACTCACTAACACCCCACTAACACACACTAACACACACTAACAAACACTCACTAACACCCCACTAACACTCACTAACACCCCACTAACACCTCACTAACACTCACTAACACACACTAACAAACACTCACTAACACCCCACTAACACTCACTAACACCTCACTAACACCTCACTAACACCCCACTAACACTCACTAACACACACTAACAAACACTCACTAACACCCCACTAACACTCACTAACACCTCACTAACACTCACTAACACCCCACTAACACACACTAACACCTCACTAACACTCACTAACAAACACTCACTAACACCCCACTAACACTCACTAACACCCCACTAACACACACTAACAAACACTCACTAACACCCCACTAACACTCACTAAGATCCCACTAACACTCACTAACAAACACTCACTAACACCCCACTAACACTCACTAACACACCACTAACACTCACTAACACCCCACTAACACACACTAACACACCACTAACACTCACTAACACCCCACTAACACTCACTAACACTCACTAACACCCCACTAACACTCACTAACACTCCACTAACACTCACTAAGACCCCACTAACACTCACTAACAAACACTCACTAACACACACTAACACTCACTAACACCCCACTAACACTCACTAACACCCCACTAACACACACTAACACCTCACTAACACTCACTAACACACACTAACAAACACTCACTAACACCCCACTAACACTCACTAAGACCCCACTAACACTCACTAACAAACACTCACTAACACACACTAACACTCACTAACACCCCACTAACACTCCACTAACACTCACTAACACCCCACTAACACTCACTAACACACACTAACACCCCACTAACACTCACTAACACACACTCACTAACACCCCACTAACACTCACTAACACCCCACTAACACCCCACTAACACTCACTAACACCCCACTAACACCCCACTAACACTCACTAACACTCACTAACACTCACTAACACACACTCACTAACACCCCACTAACACTCACTAACACACACTCACTAACACCCCACTAACACACACTAACACACACTAACAAACACTCACTAACACCCCACTAACACTCACTAAGACCCCACTAACACTCACTAACAAACACTCACTAACACACACTAACACTCACTAACACCCCACTAACACTCACTAACACCCCACTAACACACACTAACACACACTAACAAACACTCACTAACACCCCACTAACACTCACTAAGACCCCACTAACACTCACTAAACAAACACTCACCAACACACACTAACACTCACTAACACCCCACTAACACTCACTAACACCCCACTAACACACACTAACACCTCACTAACACTCACTAACACACACTAACAAACACTCACTAACACCCCACTAACACTCACTAACACCCCACTAACACTCACTAACACCCCACTAACACTCACTAACACACACTAACACCCCACTAACACTCACTAACACCCCACTAACACTCACTAACACACACTAACACCCCACTAACACTCACTAACACACACTAACACACACTAACAAACACTCACTAACACCCCACTAACACTCACTAAGACCCCACTAACACTCACTAACAAACACTCACTAACACACCACTAACACTCACTAACACCCCACTAACACACACTAACACACCACTAACACTCACTAACACTAACAAACACTCACTAACACCCCACTAACACTCACTAACACCCCACTAACACTCACTAACACTCCACAGGCTCAGGACCAGAACACACCAGCAAATCTGATTAGAGTGAACCAAATTACAAAACAGCTCAAACAGAATTATCTCTCTGTGCCAGCAGAATAGGCCTGAGACAGAGCTGCACTTTCTGACTGAATGTGCAAAATTTACTCAGATTAAAACAGAATTCTTCAGTAAAATCACCAAAACGTGTCCTGTGTTTGAGAATCGTCCCCACACAGAGAAGCTGCCGCACGTTCTATAAGAACATAGAGTTCTGCACACTGGCAGCGCAGTACATTCACACCTGCCACACTCTGAGGGACAGTGAGTGACCACACCATGTCAGAGATACATACCTACAAACACATACACTCTGCAAATTTAATTTAATTGAATTGAGACAGAGAACAGAGACAAAGAGAGAGACAGAGACAGAGAGGGAGTGGGGAAGACAAAGAAAGAGAGAGAGAGAGAAAACAGAAAGAGGAACAACAAAGAGAACAGAGAGAAAGAGAAGAACAGAAAGAGGAAGAACAACGAGAGAGACCAAAGAGAGAGAGAAAAAAACAAAAAAAAAAGGACAGAGAGAGAAAGAGAGAGAGACAGAGAGAGAGAGAGAAAGAGACAGAGAGAAAACAGAGAGAGAAACAACAGATAGAGAGAAAAGAGAGCAAAGAAAGAGAGAGAAAGTGAGCAACAGATGGTGAAACCGAAAAAAGAATTAGTCAGAAAATGTACGTTACCCCACAGTTTAACTGATCGCCTCTCAGCTTTTTTATTACCCAAAACCTCCACACTGTGTCTGAAGTGCGAATGGGCTGTAAGTGTGAGGTTTGTTTGTGTAGAAATAAAGCTCACACTAAGTCACTCAGGCAGCCCTACAGCAGGATTCAGCGTGTGGAAGGTGTCGACTGAGGGATTTCATTTTTGTGTTGATGATGTTTTTGATCTTTATGGAGGGAAATTTGTGCTAAATTGAAATGCAGTGCACAAATGACATTAGTTTTCCACGTGACACTTGGAACACAAGCTGTCCCGAAACGTGATCAGCACCGTGCGATAGCTTTTTGGGCCAGTTTGAGGAGCAGATCAGACGCATTCTGCCCTTGTGATGATGTTAGGGTCTTGCGCATGAAAAAGTTCAGCTGATTATATATTGTGCTCAATTTACTGAAGTTTGAAGTTAAAGTTTTCATCAAAATGGTTGCTATGACAACGTTAAGTGGTTTCTAGGTTGTTGCTGGGGCATTGGTAGGTGGTTGTTATTGTTTTTTTGTTGATTTCCAGGTGTTGCTAAGTGGTTGCTAAGGTTGTTGCTAGGGTGTCACTAGGAGGTTGTCATAGTGTTCCGGGTGGTTGCTAGGATATGTCTAAATGGTTCATGCTATTCCAGGTTATTGCTAGGGTGTTGCTATGCAGTTGCTATAGTGTTTTTGATGTGGTCCGTAGGATATCTCTCATATTTTATCCTAGATTGCTTCAGTTGTGTGTAAGTGGTTGCTGTCGTATCTTTGGTGGTTGCTAGGATGTTGCTATGGTATCTCTAGTGATTGCTAGGGTGTTATGTGCATAGATGAGAACAGAGTTCAGAAAAGACAAACTTAAGCACTGCGGTGAAGTCAGGGTGGGACCTGCATGTAAAAAAAGTGGTTCAGACAAGCGCTTCCTCTTTTCTGTCTGGGAACTGATGTGTTTCTGTGTGTGTTTGAGTCTGTTAAGCATTCAGGATCCTTTCTGCAGTTTCATTTTGCCTGTTGCGTACAGTACCACTCAAAAGTTTCACTTCACTCTCGTCATTAAATCAGTTTCTTTGAAGATGCTTGTATAAAACAATTCTTTGATGAAAGTAATTTCTTACTAGTGTCAGTCAGTTTGCAGGAAGCTGCGGATGCAAATACACTCTTGTGAAAAACTGAGCTGTTCATAATAATAGAGAAATCTGTACAGCATTGAGAATGAACTGATAAACAAACTGACACCCACAGTGACTCATACGTGAAAACTAATAACCAAATCTCACTAATTAAACAGATATTCTAATACAATTCCAATAAATAGAAAATTATAGTTTATTATTTAGCCTCTTAAACTCCTTGGAACCACCAGTGGTTCCAAAACGCACTTCGTCATATTCTTCATAACTTTCATATTTCATAAGCTTCATTCTAAAGGTGGGGGTCATATGAGAGCTGTAACTGTCTTCTTTCCAGTCAAATAGATGGTGATGTCATTTTAAACCCTTATAATAAAAGAAGCTGAACTCTTTCTTTTTCTGCTGAAAGTCGATCCATTTTTCCACAAATCTGGGCTATAAACTATAAACAGATGGCGTCTCTTCAGTGATCTGCTCTGTAAACATTATTTTTATAAGATAATACAAAGAGCGTCTAAGATTTTTGGCTTTCAGCAGTAAATTGTAAGCATATAGCAATATGTGTGATCATAAAACACTTTCTGTTAATTTGAGGGAAACTTAATAAATAAATAAAATAAAAATGTGCATTTATTTCATGCAGTTACTGAATAATTTGCCTTACAATTTGATCACGTAAATTCAGATGGACAAACCAAAATATACCCTGGAGAAGAAAAGGTTAATAACACTTCCATAATTTTTTACGATGTCCTAACTTGTTTTTTTTTTTCTAAGGTATCAAGTGCTGACTTCTTTATTTATAACATAGAAAAACCCAACAGTTGTTTGATTTTTAAACTGAAAATGTGTGATGTTAAAATAAAATAATTGGGCTGTTGTTTTCTTACCATTTTATAATTAATCTTGTAACTAATTTATGTAAAATAAATGTTACAAGAACAAAAGAACACTTCTGTTCATTTTTACTCGAATTCCATCCAATGAAAGCAAAAGACAAAAAAAACAACATTACATATTTGAGGATATACTGAACTGCAGCAGAGCAGAATGTTTAGGTGATGCTGGGTTACTGCACTGAACTATCTGCACTGAAAACTCCACAGAAATAAATATTATATTAATGCTGTTCTGATAGTGCCATACCTGTACTGTCATATGAGCAGTCCGAGAGATTTCCTCTGAAGTTCTTTGGAACAGTTTCTCTGGTGTTGATTGTTTTCACCGTACCTAAAAATGAAAGTGGACATTGTCTGATCAGACCTTTATTATGAAAAAGGTGGTTAAGAAATATTAAAATTGATAGTGGTACATTAGACTGATGCAAAAGTTTGGGGTCACTGATTTCATTCACATCAATTGAAGATGTGAGTATAAAATGATTCTACAATTGATCTCATTTCTTATGAGTGTCAGTCAGTTTGTATGAAGCTGTAAAAATGATGTTTTGATGATAATCGGAGCTGTGAGTGATTTCATTTATAAATCTGTACAGCACTGAGAATGAACTGATAAACAAACTGACACCCACAATGGCTCACATCTGAAAACTGATAACTAAAAATTACTAATTAATCAGATATTCAGAGTTTTTTACTGAATAAACAGAAAATTACAGCTTATTATTTAATAAAACTTCCATTTTTTTACTTCCATTACCATCTTCTAACTTTGTGTTGTTCCCAAAACACTGTAAACTGTGAATAAAGTGTTGGTTTAAGTTTTGGTGTTTATTTTATAGCACTTCAGTCTACACTGTATGAGTTATTACTGAATAACAGTTATTATTATGACGTGACCTGTGACCGCCTCACAAAAACTAGTGTCAAAAAAAATAGTGTCATAAAAACTCCTTTTGCTGTTAATCTTGACTGTACTGCTGCACCGGGGGGGTGCACTGGGGCACCGAGTGTACTGATAAATGAAGTTAGAACCCAGTTCTGTTTTAACTGAGGAGCTGACGACTTATTTTCTTAGCTAGAACTGGGCTAATCAGCTAGTTAACATACTAAAAGATAGCTAATAGGCTAAACATGATTCACTTTAAAACTACAATATAAGTTAAAAAAGTAAAGTAAATATGTGACTTGAATGTTTTAAAAGCTTCAAATATCTGTGTTTTGGTTCCTATGTAGCTTTAAACCTGCCTCCTTCAAATAAAGAGCACTAGTTATGAATATCCAGCTTCTACTTCCAAACAGTGCAGTGTTCGTCCGGTATGGACATGGCTGAATCCCAAATTTGTTAGACGTATTATGCGCTGTATGTGTGCATTTCCAGCCAACACTGGAAATCACATATAGACACTAAAGGAAATTAGCATTGTTGTGGCTGCGCTAATTTGTTGAACAACAACTACTTGTAAAAGGAATTTTCGGTAACACTTTATTTGGATGATCCACTGTAGATGTTTTGTAAATGCTCAGTCTGTCTTTAAGTAACATTCAATTAAATATCTATTAAATGAAACTGAACTACGAGTTCAGTATGAAAGATTTCATTAAATCTAAACCTAAACCTAAACCTAACCTTAACCTCAAGGCAAAACCTACACCTACTCCTAACCCTAACTATAAGCATACTGTGGTTAATACTCAACTGAATATCACCAGAAAGTTTGTTATTATAAGTGGTGGACGGTAACGAAGTTTTTTTGTGCATCTGTACTTTACTGAAGTTTTTCCATTTAGGGCAACTTTTTACTTTCACTCCACTACATTTCAAAGTCAAATATCTTACTTTTTACTCCACTACATTATGAGAAATCTGTCGCTCCTTTTGGTTTATGTGTGTATAAAAACATTTTGTGCTTAAGATAATTTTAATAGACATCAGCATCACTAATTAATGACCTTCTATTAAAAGACTGGTTTACCAAGAGAGACACTGAAGTATTTTCACCTAAATGAGTTAATGAAGCGAGTCTTGTTACAAAAATAAAAATAGGACATCAGAGTCATAATTAAGTACTTTTACTTTTGATACTTAAGTACATTTTAAGGCCAATACTTTTGTACTTTTACTCAAGTGGAGGTCTAAAGGGAGGAACTTCTACTTTTACTGGAGTAATATTTTACCTGGGGTATCTCAACTTTAACTCAAGTACATGATTTGTGTACTTCGTCCACCACTGATAATTATTAACAACATGAATAACAACTAAAAATTGTATATTTTACCAAATTAGTAAGCCACTTGAGGCCATGCATTACAGTGATTTTATCATGGGTAACAGTGTTATTAGGCGTGACACACAGCCTGTTGCTTTTATTCCAAAATAACTGCATGCATGTCATGATATAAACTATACTCTTTTTGCTGTAATTTTGAGGGCCTTGCTGATTGTCTCTCCTCGCCGAGAAATAAAGAATTTTGCCATGACAGCCTTTGTTACATTCGATTAGAAATAGGTTGTGTGCTGGTTTTAAGACTGGAGAGATGGTGGAGTTAAAGTGACAGTGGGATGCACAGAAGTGAAGAGTGAACAAATAAAATACTGACAAATTTAATATATTTCATTGTTGAGGACTTTGTGTAACTTTCTGTTAAATATATGTTTCCTGCTTTTTTTTATTTGACACAGAAAAATGGATGAGTAGTACTTAATGGCCATTTCAACTTAAATAAACAAAAGGGTGGTCTCTGGGTTTTTTTTACTGCATGTCTCAGCACTGCTTACCATTTTTGTCCATTATGGTGAATATGGCTCCTCCACCAATGCCCATGCACTGTGGGTTTACGACTGATGTGCACAGCAGAGCAGCTATTGCGCCATCTGCCGCTGAACCGCCTTCCCTCAGGATATCTCTGAGAAACCGAAAGCAGAACAGCTAAACTGATTGCACCGCCAAAACACAGCCGCTAACTAGATAAGGAACTCTTCACCATTAGAACAAAAACTATGATAAAACTAAACATTTGGACTATTAGAGACATGTTTACTATTTTTACACACTTGAAAAAGTGGTTTATTGTTTTAAGAAGCATTCTGACCTAAAACTTGTCTTTAATGTGTTATTAGTTATGCAGTGTAGTATTCGTTATTGCAGTATTGCACTTGTTAAATTTGCTTGCTGATCACTCCAAACTGACTATTTCTTTCAGTGCACTATAAATGAGCTACAATGGTGAATTGCATTCATGCAAAAATCATAAAGAGCAATTATTTGGCTTAAAACACTCACCGTCCAACTTTCGAGCATATTTCGGAGTCAGCAGCAACTGCAGCTTTCCTGAAACTTCCACCAGGACACGGCACCTTAGGTGGTTTTCTCCCATGTAAGACAACTATGATTGTAACAGTTATTATTGCAATGGTGATGAACAAGCCAAAGTATAACTTATTTCCAGCCATTACTGCAGGAATCTGAGAGCTCAGGAGTTAATAAACCAGATCTTGCACTGACAAAGTCATGCAGTGATATGTGGCAATAACACAAACACCTCCCCTTCCTCCTCTCACAGTCACACATAGGCAGACTGGACGCCGCCAAACCAAATCCCACCAAACTGCAAAAAAAGTGATGCTTTGAAGTGACTTGACTCAATCATTGCATCGTTCCCACTTGAATAAAATATATTACATCAACACATTTATTGCCAAAAATATATATTATTATTATTATTATTATTATTCTCTTTATTTATACAGGGACAGGTTAACCCACTGCGAACTAGGTCTGATTTGCAGTGGGGCCCTAAAGACATATCTAAAACACAATACAATAATATAGTAAACAGAAATAATAACAAACATAAATTGAGTAGATCAATAAAAACTATTAGAATGAGCAAAATAAATGAAACATGCCATAACTTGCACAACCCTCATCAACCAAACCTGACTAAAAGAGTTGTTGTACAACCCCATTTCCAAAAAAGTTGGACGCTGTGCAAAATGTAAATAATAACAGAATACAATGATGTGCAGATCATTTAAACCCTATATTTAATTGAAAACAGTACAAAGACAACAAATCAAATGTTGAAACTGAGAAATTTTATTGTTTTTTGAAAAATATTTGCCCATTTTGAATTTGATGCCAGCATGTTCCAAAAAAGTTGGGACGGGGGAACAAAAGGCTGGTAAAGTTGTGTGATGCTAAAAAAAACACCTGGTGGTTGATTGGCAACAGGTCAGTAACATGATTGGGTATAAAAGATCATCTCAGAGAGGCGGAGTCTTTCAGAAGTAAAGATGAGGAGGGGTTCACCACTCTGTGAAAGACTGCACCATCAAATAGTGCAACAATTCAAGAATAACGTTTCTCAACATAAAATAGCAAAGAACTTTTGCTTTTCATCATCTACGGTACATAATATCATTAAAAGATTCAGAGAATCTGGAGAAATCTCTGTATGTAAGGGACAAGACCAAAAACCAGTATTTGCTGGCCGTGATCTTTGGGCCCTCAGACAGCACTGCATTAAAAGCAGACATGACTAACTATTACTACTATATTACTACTATCTCCTAACTATTACTACTATTACTATTAATATTAGTAGAATAATAATTTTGTACGTAGTTTGACCAGAGGAGGATGGGTCCCCCCATGTGAGCCTTGGTTCCTCCCAAGGTTTCTTCCTCAACTGAGGGAGTTTTTCCTTGCCACTGTCGCCCCTGGCTTGCTCACCTGGAGGATTTACATTTCATGTTGAAACTTTGTTCTAAACGGATTTCTGTGAAGCTGCTTTGTGACAACATCAGTTGTAAAAAGCGCTATACAAATAAATTTGATTTGATTTGATTTGATTTGACATGATTCTGTAGTGGAAATCACTGCATGGGCTCAGAAACACTTCTGAAAAACACTGACTGTGAAAACAGTTCATCACTGCATCCACAAATGCTAGTTAAAACTCTAAAATGCAAAGAAGAAACTGTACATAAACAGGATCCAGAAATGCTGCCACCTTCTCTGGGCCCGAGCTCATTTAAAATGGACTGAGACGAAGTGGAAAAGTGTCCTGTGGTCCGACGAATCAACATTTGAAATTCTTTTTGGAAATCATGGACACTGTGTCCTCCGGGCTAAAGACCACTCAGCTTGTTATCAGTGCACAGTTCAAAAGCCAGTATTCATGATGGTATAGGGGGCCTTATTATCTGTGAAGGCACCATTAATGCTGAATGATATATACATGTTTTGGCAACATATGCTGCATCGAGACGACGTCTTTTTCAGGGAAGGCCTTGATTATTTCAGCAAGACAATGTAAAACCACATTCTGCATATATTACAGCAGCATTCTTCCGTATTAAAAGAGTCCGTTTTAACATTTCATATGTTGTCTTTGTAGTATTTTCCTTTAAAAATATGGTTTACATGATTTGCATATCATTGCATCCTATTTTTATTTACATTCTCCACAGCGTCCCAACTTCATTGGAAACGGGGTTGTATTTTCACATAAACTGAAGGACTAAATGATGTAATTTTTTTACGTAATGTAATATTGCAATGTTTTGATGTAATATTTTATTCATATGGACATTATGTGGACAAGAGCATGCCACAGCCTAACTTTTTTATTTTTGTTAAATAATTTTAAACATGTTTGAGCAAGACTAATTCTAAATAATATTATTATTAATAAAATTAAAGCCCATGCAATTCTGTCAGAAATAAAAACTGAAAATCTGTTTCCAGTACTTACTGTTTATGAATAATTCAGCCAACAGTGGTAAGAGCTACAACCGGAAGAACTCTTAATAGGACTTTTACACAATGATCAACTCTCCGTCAGCCCACTGCGACTGTTAGAACACTTTGACAGCCACATGCTCTGCCCCTCATACCTCTATGTAGATCGTCTATGCTTATTATGACCATGTGAGCATGCACCATGATCACTTTATGGCTTTTTGTGTTTAAGGGTTCAACAGTGTGACGGAAACACCATCATCCTGCAGGCGGAAGACTGAAAATTTGATTTCCTGTCCAGGTAGGAAATCCTCTGCAATACAAATGAGTGCTTGAGCAAGACATCAACATAGCTGGATATCGGTGGAGTTACATGCAGGGTGTTGTGAGGCAAAATAATCCCCAAAGAAAACGTATTATTTCAGATTTTCCACTATTTTCCATCATCAACATTCCATATAAACTCAGAAGACTCGTGTAGGTTCACTGGTGGTTCTGGATAGTAAATAAAATGTCTATATCTGTGTTGTAGTCATGGCGACCCCTGGTTCCTATCACCACCACTGTACAGACATCTGAACTATTTCACACCAAACCACTCTGAATCACTCTGTTTACATCTCACACACCGAATTATACAGAGATTTTGAAAAATTGGTGGAGCTCCCCTTTAAGTGCGAGAGTGATGCAGAAATCTTGAAAAATTGGTCGAATTCCCCTTTAAATGAACATTTTAAGACACCTAATCTCACCAGCAGTGGGCACTCTATCCACATGTAATAATGTTCAGAGCAACCTGTAACAATAACAATAAATGCATGATTAATAAAGCACTTTTTTTTATCTGTTTTCACTGGAGACTGTAGATGCTGGTGTAGTTTAGGACTGAATACTGTTCAACTACAGAATGAGTTTTTACTATGACTTTCTCATTTTCTTTATAATAAACAATCTATGGTGGTTTCTGGTTTAGAATATTACACACTGCTATTCAATAATAAGCTAAGAAACTTAACACTGGTAACAGATGGATTTATTAACAGTTCACAATCACTTTAGTTATATATTACAACTGAGTGATTAATATGTACAGTGTATACATAAATACACCAATCAGGCATAACATTATGACCATCTCCTTGTTTCTACACTGATTGTCCATTTTATCAGCTCCACTTACTATATAGGTGCACTTTGTAGTTCTACAGTTACAGACTGTAGTCCATCTGTTTCTCTGATACTTTGTTAGCCCCCTTTTACCCTGTTCTTCAGTGGTCAGGACTGCAGTAACACTGACGTGGTGGTGTGTTAGTGTGTGTTGTGCTGGTCTGAGTGGATCAGACACAGCAGTGCTGCTGGAGTTTTTAAACACCTCAGTGTCACTGCTGGACTGAGAATAGCCCACCAACCAAAAATATCCAGCCAACAGTGTCCTGTGGGCAGCGTCCTGTGACCACTGATGAAGGACTAGAGGATGACCAACACAAACTGTGCAGCAGCAGATGAGCTATCGTCTCTGACTTTACATCTACAAGGTGGACTGACAAGGTAGGAGTGTCTAATAGAGTGGACAGTGAGTGGACAAAAAAAAACTCCAGCAGCACTGCTGTGTCTGATCCACTCGTACCAGCGCAACACACACTAACACACCTCCACCACATCAGTGTTAAAGAGTGTTAAGGAGGTGGCCATAATGTTATGCCTGATCAGTGTATGTACTAATTTAGACAAATACAACACTGGGGATGCTATCTGAATAATACCTATTAGATAGAGAGTAACAGAGAGAGAGAGAGAGAGAGAGAGAGAGAGAGAGAGAGAGGAGCTAGAAGCATCATGCTTGTTATAGTTAAACTCTGTGTATTGTAGTAATACTGTTATTACTACAATAAAAGGGTTAAAGTCTTTAAATGCCCAACAGAAAATTGTCCAGTCAGGATTGTTCTCTCAGTGTTAACTAAGCAGATAAGGCCAAGATGCTCTCCCCTTGGTCAGGACTTCAGGAGCTGGACTGAAGGCCTTACACATTAGATTTACTATCATCATAATTAGGAAGCTACAAAGGACTCAACCAATCATGTTTTGATTTACAAAGGGTTACAATCTCATCCTTCTGAAAGTTCTAGATAACTTACTGTCAATACGAGCTCTGGTCTAAGCAGTGTTCCGGTTAGTTGTTAGGAGTGTAAAACAGTGGCGGCAGCTCTATGTAGAGCTCTTTACTGAAAGAGTCACTGTAACACTGATACATACAGACTCAGATATCTGATAGTGTCTGATACAAGCTTAAAATGAAACACATGGAATGACTTTTACAAGCCATAGTGTTTGTGTTTAATCAGAATGGAATTGCCAAGAAAACACTTATGTGAATTGCTGTTAGCTTATCGCTAACATACTATTAGAATTCCTTAGGCATGCTAGCAGGTGGAGGTGTTCTTCTTAATTTTTGACCCAGTTTTGACACTCGCACTGCTACCTGTCCCTGACCTCTCATCATCTTAGTAGCCTTAACCCTCTGTGGTCATCTTCTCGATTTGTTCATCTCTTCTTAAACTCCCCTTTAAAGGCTCTTCATATAACATGATCCTCATATGTTTCATATCTAAATGCTCCGTTATCTTCATCACTTTCCAAAACCGCTGCAGCAGCTTCAGCAGCTGTAAACTCTCTGCACGCCGTTTCACATGAGTCTCCGATGTGGACTGAATGAAGAGTGAAGGGTTTCCGGCGTGATGGTCAGTCCTTAGTGATTTCCT